TTCCACATTTTTGTACCCTTGAGTCATGTACTGTACCTGCTCAAGCTGTATTTCCACAATGGTTGAATATGTTGATGAGACATAATATAGTGTGTAACAGTGATTAAATGAGAAACTTTTGAACTAGAGGTACACTCTTGATTGAGACACGGCCATGACAGACTTTGCTTTTTTGTTTGGAGTTTGTTAACCACCACAACTTTTGTCATATTGAGCCCTGCTCACTCTGGCTTCGATTCAAATAAAGTGTATGCTGTAGCAGACTTATTTATGTCATGCCATAGCAGGCAACAGCCAGTGTGTTAATTAAAAAAATAATTCAGGTTAAGGGCCTCTACTTGGATCTTAAGGAACTGAAATATCAAATTGATGTTCAGCTTTATATTTCTTCTTTCACAGGAAAAAGTGATTAATTACATTGATCTTGAACTGAAATATCAAATTTATATTTCTTCTTTTGCAGGAAAAAGTGCACTCGCCTTGATGTCTCTCCATGGAGACCTCTGCCTGAGCAAGTACCACAAGAGGCTGTGGCTGTACAGAGTACTCAAGCTGTTAATCAAGTAAAGAGGACTCAAGCTGTTAATCAAGTAAAAAGGACTCAAGCTGTTAATCACATTTATAAACCCGCTTCCAAGCCGAAACCAGTTGTAAATGATGAATTGAAAGCAAAAGCTCTAAATGCAAAACCTTCAACTGTCTCGCCAAAAAGTTGGAAGTACAAAAAATGGGTAAATGTGAGTATGAGTGCATTTGCCTAAACTCATTCAAATATCATTAACATTTTCACACTAATTTTTGAGAATATAATTTGTTTTGTTATAGAAGTTAATTTAAGTTTGTGTTCCTGTGTTTAAGGTGATTATTGAATTTGTAATATATGTACCCTTTTAACTACACTCTTTCTCACAACCATTCTTACATATGTCCACTCCTTCTCACAGCCTCTCTTATACATGACCATTCTTCTTCCCTCATATAAGGCTATTCACAAGCTCATTCCTTTCCACAGTGTTCCTCTTTCAACTTCCATCACACCTCACAACCTGAGTCACACAAGCCCTCTCCTTCCCACAATCTTCTTTTTCCAAACCTACCCTCTCACTATCACAAGCTTAAAAGAATATCTTACTAACATCTGATATGTCCTTATTTTTAATCCTCAGAAAATTTGGTTTTATGCAAATCACCTCTTCTTGGGAGACAGCAGATTGGCCAATGTTATCTTTAAAACAAATCCCAAGTGTAAAAAGAATATTGTGTGTGTCCAGCACCTGCAGCTCCCTGAGGCCATGGCCATCATCATAAAAGAGATGGCAGTTGTCAAGTACAAGTCATTGTTTCTCATGGTAGGGCACCATGATCTTACTGCTCAGGTATTGTTTTACTTCAACTTTGTTTTTTTTTCCTAGTCAGAGGGTAGCTTATTTTTTTGAAGTTTATTTCTTTTTTTTTTTTCATCTCTGTGATAACCTGAATAAGTCTAAATGGTTTTGCTTCACAATTGACCAACTTATTCACTGCTTAAATTAATTGATGTGTACATTAATGATTTATAAACATGCAAGATTTCAGGTATGTCTGCTGACTTCTACTTACTTTGGTCACATACAAATCAGTTTTTTTTTTTTTTTTTTTTTTTTCACAGTCGCCGCGTCTCCCACCGAGGCAGGGTGCCATCAATAAAAGAGATCGCCCAGTGTAAGTACATTCTTTGCTCATTAGGCACCATATCTTACACTCAGCAATTTTATTCACTTGTTTTTTTTGATACCAGTCAGAGCATAACTTAATATTTCAAAAGCTTATTCTTTTTTTTTATTCCCATTCCGTGACTCAATCCGACTATATGTAAATGGTTTTGCCCTTCACTAATTTACCCTTACATCAACTGCTTCAAGTAATTGATGTGTACATTCATCCTATCTAACACCTACGCACGCTTGCGGTATGTCTCAGCTACTTACCACACTTTTCACACCTCAACATACATGTACAAGCATATATATACACACCCCTCTGGGTTTTCTTCTATTTTCTTTCTAGTTCTTGTTCTTGTTTATTTCCTCTTATCTCCATGGGGAAGTGGAACAGAATTCTTCCTCCGTAAGCCATGCGTGTTGGAAGAGGCAACTAAAATGCCGGGAGCACGGGGCTAGTAACCCCTTCTCCTGTATATATTACTAAATGTAAACAGAGAAACTTTCATTTTTCCTTTTGGGCCACCCCGCCTCGGTAGGATACGGCCGGTGTGTTGAAAGAAAGAAGAAAGAAGATTAATGATTTATTCTTCTTCTTTCAACAAACCATATCTCACCGAGGCAGGGTGGCCCAAAAAGAAAGACAAAGGTGGGAGAAGCTGGGTTTGATTGGTGTCATGGGTATAGGAGTAAATTCTTGGGTAGCTTTGGGCAGTAGTGGTTTTGATTAGGACTTGTCTTGTTTAGGCCAGTAGGCCTTCTACAGTGTTCCTCCATTCTTATGTTCTTATACAGGAAAAGGGTTACTAGCCCCTTCCTCCCAGCATTTTAGTCGCTTCTTATGACACATTTGGCTTACAGAGGAAGAATTCTGTTCCACTTCCCCATAGAGATAAGCAGAAATAAACATGAAGAAGAACTAGTAAGAAAATAGAAGAAAACCCATAGGGGTTTGTATATATATGCTTGTACATCAGTAGCGTCGCTAGGGTTGGTGCCACCCGGGGTGGAATCTTTGGTGTCACCCCCATGAAATCCAAGGGCTGGGGGATGGGGTGAAGTAAACTCCAGTTATGTCACTACTGCATACCCAGTAACTAATGTTTAGCAATGAGAATGTTTAAGGGCCATAAACCGAACAGGAGAATACTTCTCAACTTTAATAATGGTAAAATAAATAATTGTAGTAATATTGAGGATACATAAACTCATATATGTATCACTTTGAGTACAGGCAACAGATCCTACATTTATTCATCTTCAACATTGCAATAAAAAAAACATGAAAAATAAAGAAAAACATTGCAATATCAGAGAAACACTAGTTCCGATTTGACCTCGAGTACAGGTAACATCTCAGTGAATCTGAACTTACATTTCCTTGCCTTCAATCCTGCAAGATCATCTATCACATCATCAAAATCAATGATTTTCCCTATATAGGTTTATTTGTACTCATATAATAGGCTATATGGAAACTAAGGATTTTTCTCTTATGTTGCTGCAGCACTGTTTTGTGCATTAATGTCACCTTCTTTAGAGGCTCTGTGGTGTCACCCCCTAAATGGTGTAACCCAGGGCGGCCCACCCTCCCCTGCCCCTCCCCCTTACGACGCCACTGTTGTACATGCATGTGTAGTGTGACCTAAGTGTAAGTAGAAGTAGCAAGATGTTTATGAGATAGAAAAAAGACACCAGCAATCCTACCATCATGTAAAACAATTACAGGTTTCCACTTCACGCTCACTTGGTAGGATGGTAGTACCTCCTTGGGTGATTACTGTCTATCAACCTACTACCTACATGATTTATTATTATTATTTTACCTCAATGGCCATGTCCTGCCATGAGGGGGGGTGACTCAAAGAAGAAAAACACATTAACCATCATTCATTTTATTGCTCTCAAAAGTGTGCTGACACCACAATTGAGATAACCCTCCAATCGCAATATCCTCATCCCTCCTTCAGAGTGCATGCACTACCTTTTCCACCTTCAGGACTCTGGTTAACCAGTTTCTTTGAATCCCTTCATTAAAGTTACCATGCTTACAAAGTACAGCCATTAAAAGTCATTTGTCTCTATTCACTCCCATCTAACATGCTCACACAACCCTTCTTGATGTTTAAGCCCATAAAACTCTAAGCCTCTTTTACCTCTCTCCAACCAATCCTAGGATGACTCCCATACCCTTCTATGTTTACCCCAGATTTATTCACACCTCTTTTGTCTACTTCTCCCTCTCCATCTTATCTAAATACCCAAACCACCTCATCAACCCCTCAGCCCTCTGAAATATCCTTCTAATTTCTGTGCTCCAAAATCTCTGCATAATATTCACACCACACATTGCTCTCAAACATGACATCTCCACTGCCTATAGCTGCCACCTCACTGCAGTGTTCATAACTCATCCTTCATACCCATATAAAAATGTTGGTACCATTATAATCTGGTACATTCTCTGGTAGTACTATCTTTCCACAGTTGCCTCAATATAACATCCACCTTTTTTTGTTTCATCTATTCTTTGGTTTGCATTGTCTTTCATAGACCTTCTGCTGACATGTCCATGCCCAAATATCTAAATACAGCGGTACCTTGACTTACGAGTTTAATTCGTTCCGTGACTGAGCTCGTAACTCAATTTGTTCATACAGTGGACCCCCGGATTACGACATTAATCCATTCCAGAGAGTGTGTCTTATACCGAATCTTTCTTAATCCGAATTAATATTCCCCATGAGAAATAGTGGAAATCCAATTAATCCGTTCCAGACACCCAAAAGCATTAAACAAAATAATTTTTTTACATGAAATATACATTTCCCTATACAGAAAACAATGAGACATGCAAAATAAATAAATAATAAAATGAAACTTACCCTTATTGAAGACGTATTGATGAGTGCTGAGACGGGAGGAGGGGAGACGATGGAGGTGTACTAGTGTTTGGAAGGAGAATCCCCTTCCAGCTTGAGAGTCACTGGACCCCTGTTCCACAAAATATCTGTCCAGAGAGCTCTGTTTCTGGCATCTCTTTAAGATTTCCCTAAAATGCAACACAACATTGTTATTGTAGATGTTGCCAGCACGGCCTGTAACAGGTGTGTCATGGTGATGTTCATCCATAAATGTTTGCACATAAAAAAGCAGAAACATTGCAGCAGGCCTGTTGGCCCATACTAGGCAGTTCCTTCACAAACCATCCCACTAACAGAATCGTATTTGCCCAACCCAGTTTTCATGCTTCCCAATGCAATAGATATGATGGAATCCTATTACTCATGCACAGTCCCTGCATATTAAATCGTTGTGTGTTTGGGGAAGTACCGCTGGTATGGAAATTGGGGAAGGTACCCTGGCTGGTATGTGGGGAAGTACCCTTGCTAGTATGTGGGGAAGTACCCTGGTTGGTGTGTTTGGGGAAGTACCCTGGCTGGTATGTGGGGAAATACCCTGGCTGGTATATGGGGAAGTACCCTGGCTGGTATGTGGGGAAGTACCCTGGCTGGTATGTGGGGAAGTACTCTGGCTGGTATGTGGGGAAGTACCCTGGCTAGTATGTGAGGAAGTACCCTGGCTGGTATGTGGGGAAGTACCCTGGCTGGTGTGGGGAAGCACCCTGGCTGGTGTGTGGGGAAGTACCCTGGCTGGTGTGTGGGGAAGTACCCTGGCTGGTGTGTGGGGAAGTACCCTGGCTGGTGTGTGGGGAAGTACCCTGGCTGGTGTGTGGGGAAGTACCCTGGCTATATGTGGGGAAGTACTCTGGCTGGTGTGTAGGGAAGTAACCTGGCTGGTGTGTGGGGAAGTACCCTGGCTGGTGCATGGGGAAGTACCCTGGCTGGTATGTGGGGAAATACCCTGGCTGATATGTGGGGGAGTACCCTGGCTGGTGTGTGGGGAAGTACCCTGGCTGATATGTGGGGAAGTACCCTGGCTGGTGCATGGGGAAGTACCCTGGCTGGTGTGTGGGGAAGTACCCTGGCTGGTATGTGGGGACGTACCCTGGCTGGTGTGGGGGGAAGTACCCTGGCTGGTGTGTGGGGAAGTACCCTGGCTGGTGTGTGGGGAAGTACCCTGGCTGGTATGTGGGGAAGTACCCTGGCTGGTGTGTAGGGAAGTACCCTGGCTGGTATGTGGGGAAGTACCCTGGCTGGTGTGTGGGGAAGTACCCTGGCTGGTGTGTGGGGAAGTACCCTGGCTGGTATGTGGAGAAGTACCCTGGCTGATATATGGGGAAGTACCCTGGCTGGTATGTGGGGAAGTACCCTGGCTGGTGTGTGGGGAAGTACCCTGGCTGGTATGTGGGGAAGTACCCTGGCTGGTGTGTAGGGAAGTACCCTGGCTGGTATGTGGGGAAGTACCCTGGCTGGTGTGTGGGGAAGTACCCTGGCTGGTGTGTGGAGAAGTACCCTGGCTGGTATGTGGGGAAGTACCCTGGCTGGTATGTGGGGAAGTACCCTGGCTGGTATGTGGGGAAGTACCCTGGCTGGTGTGGGGGAAGTACCTTGGCTGGTGTGTGGGGAAGTACCCTGGCTGGTGTGTGGGGAAGTACCCTGGCTGGTATGTGGGGAAGTACCCTGGCTGGTGTGTGGGAAAGTACCCTGGATGGTATGTGGGGAAGTACCCTAGCTGGTATGTGGGTAAGTACCCTGGCTGGTGTGTGGGGAACT